AATTTAACACCTTTCTATTAAATTACAATCTGTTTAAATTTTATTTGTGTAAAATTATATATATTGAAAAAAAAATTATCCATTCAATTGTTTAAACAAATCTGATCTATTGAAATCTTTTTTTGAATAACTTTTTTTTCATATCAGATTAGATTTGTTCAATCCTTTTTTTTAAAAGATCAGATCTGATCTGATAATGAACTCCAGATCTCTTCGCACATATACACACAGATATATACCTATCATATTGCAATTTGAACACACACACAAGCACAAAAAAATAGCCACCGTTGTTTAATAGAAGTTAGATGAAATTACAAGTACAATAAAAATAAATGAAGAAATTAATAATGTGATAGTATTAATTTAAAAATAAAGAATAAAAATATTTATTTGTATATAATATTATGATATATAAAATTATATAAATACCCTTAAATTAACTAATATTAGAATAATTACAATATATATATAATAAAAAAATAAAAATGGGAGACAACCCACCACGTGGGGGTGTCTTTCCCCATACACAAATGCCCCCAAACTCTTTCTTCTTTTTTTTTTCTTTTTCTTTTTTTTTGTTTTTTGCGCCATTCCATGCTGGTGATGATTGATAAAGGTTTGAAGAGGAGGGGAAATTTATGTAATTTCATACCCTCTCCGCCAACAATCTCTTGACTAACCTTTGAATTTGATACCCCTTTGATACGGTTGTAAACGAATTAAACGGTTCATGAATAATTTATATTTAATTTATTTGAACTCGATTTGTTTATTAAATGAACAAATTCGAGTTTAATTTTTAGACTTGTTTATTAATCGAATCTTTTATTCTGTTATTATTCACTGGACTCTCACTTATTATTTATATTACTCCCTCCATTTCAAAATATTGATCCCTTTTAGGGAATTCAACTTTTTTTGGTAGTACACTTATTGCATTTGAAAAAAGTTGATTTTCTAAAATTACCCTTTTGATAGTACATTTTTTGGGAATATCAATGTCATAATTGTACTTTTTAAATTGTTTATTAGTTTAAAAGAAGGGCAAAATAGAAAATTTACATTATTTTTGTACTTGATTTATAAAGAGGGACTAATATTTTAGGACAATGAAAAATAGAATAAGGGACTAATATTTTGGGACAGAGGGAGTATGTATGTAGGTGACCAGGCACGTGATCAGACTCAGAGTTAAGGACCTGGAGTTTGTTTTGTCAGCTAACCTTTGGTCCTCCCGAAGATGTTCCAAATGTTAGATAGTCATGCTTTGCGAACATATAAGACTTTATTTTTTTATTTTTTTTTCTGGTATATGAACAAGTTGTCTGCCTATCTATATATCGGGCTAAGTCCTCTTTTTGGTAATATCTGTAATGTATGTGACATAAGATTACTTTCTTTTGACGTCACGTATTTATATATAAAGTTTTGGAATTTATGTCTCATATATGTCTACACAACTCAATGAACTATGTATATTTTATATATTTGCTTCCTCAGCCCCTTATTATGTTATAATCTGTTCAGAGGCCTTTGGTAATCCAAAGATTACTAGTTGGTAACGATGCTAAACTTATATGGGCGAGTTTGGGTCGTGACAATTTTCAAATAGAATTAATAATTTCGTCAGTTGATATCTGAAAAAAGTGACATATTTCAACATTAGTTTACCGAATTAAAATTGTGAAAAAAAAAATATACATAAAAAAATTTACATTTTCATAATTGCTTTTGCTGTAACCAAGCATATTATTATTTGAATTTGAATTTCCATTGATTCACAATTCGTCCATCACAAAAATCAAGAATTATAGTGGATTTTAATGACAAAACGATATAATTAATGGAGTATAAACTTAGAGAGCAAAGCAATACGAGAGGATTGCTTTGCAAGCAATAGATGACTATAGAGTGTGTAGCAAACAATGGTCAATAGAATAAATGAACAACAATGGAGAACGTGAGAAACAATGGAGAAATTATGGTTTAGTTTTTTTTTACTTAAAAGATGTGTACTGAGATTTTTATTTTTATTTTTTAAATGATGTGTACAAAAAAACTTTGATTTAATGTTAATGGTGTGTTTTGATGTCCATTATGGTCATTTTACTTCAAGTTAAAATTGTCCTTAAAATAATATTTCATTAAGTTTGGTAAAATAGTTTGGTGAAAAGTCATTTTGTTGTTTTCGAGGACAATTTATTTTCAATTTTACCCTTTATCTATCTGTTGAATTTTTTTAACTATCTATTTAAATACTTTTTTATTTGTTGTTCAAATATTTTTTTATCTATTTAATTTTTTTGACTGTTTGTTCAAATTTTTTTTTTTGACGATCTGTTTAAATTTTTTATATATAATCTATATGCTAAAAAAAACTATCTGTTGAATGTTTTTTTGTTATCTCTCAAATTTAACACCTTTCTGTTAAATTACAATCTGTTTAAATTTTATTTGTGTAAAATTATATATATTGAAGAAAAAAAATATCTATTCAATTTTTTAAACAAATCTGATCTACTGAAATCTTTTTTTGAATAGCCTTTTTTTCAGATCAGATTAGATTTGTTCAATCTTTTTTTTTTTTGGTCTATATGTTCAACCTTTTTTTTTAAAGATCAGATCTGATCTGATTAGACGATGAACTTTAGATCTCTTCGCACATATACACACAGTTATATACCTATCATATTGCAATTTCAACACACACACGCCAAAAAAACAAAAAAAAAAATGACCATGCTTATTTAATGAATTAAATTAGATGAGATTATAAATACGATGAAAATGAATGAAAAAATTAGTAGTGTGATAACATTAATTTGAAGATAAAGAATAAAGAGTATTTATTTATATGTACTAAGATGATATGAGACTACCATATAAAATTACATAAACACCTATAAACTAAAATGTTAGAATAATTACTTATTATGGAGAAAAAAATGTTTGGGAGCATTAATTAGTGCTCCCACTAATTAGGTGGCAGTGTGTCCCGTCATTAATGATGTGATGTTTTAGTCTTGAAATTATATTTTTTTTTACTTTTTTAATGCATTAATGCTATTAGTAGTGATGTTTTTAGTGAATGAATCATTGTTGTTTATATAATTTCATACCCTTCCACCAACAATATGTGGACTAACCTTTGAATCCGATACCTCTACAGGTATGTTAATCCAACTGCTGTACAGGATTATTAATCTTTTTAGACTATCAATCCAGCCCATCATTTGTCTGCCAAAATTTATGGATGTACTCAACACTTAGTCAGCCAAACAAATATGTCTCATTTGTCTGCCAAAATTTATGGATGTACTCTGCCAAAATCTATGGATGTACTCACCACTATTCAGCCAAATAAATATGTCTCATTTATCTGCCCAAATTTATTGATGTACTCACCGTTTAGTATTTTTATAAGTTAGTAAAAAGGTAATTTTTTAATTTTTTTAATTTATTTTATTTTTTTTAAGGAAATTATATGAGAGATAATGTGATAAAAATTGATAAAAAGTTAGAAGTTGACTTTTTATTAGTTTCCCAACAGAGCACTTAGAGCCATTCCAACCACACTCTCTACTTTTCACTAGTTAAAGTATAAAAAAAGTACACTTTTTATTTTACCTAATTACTTTAGCTATTGTGTTCTCCAACCACGCTCTTTATTTTAACTAACCATTTAAACTAACTTAATTAATTTTAAAAATAAAAAAATACTAATTGTTGATATTTTACTAATATAAATGTACAATAACAATAAATTTGTCCATACAAACATATAAAACCTGTAGAATGAGGAGAAAAAAAAATACAAAATAAGTTATTCCGTAATTCATCAAACGGAATTGAAAGAACACATAAAATTGCTACAAATACACACACACACATATATATATATATATATATAATATAAAATCTCAAATCCAAGATATAAATATACAAAAATCTAAAATATATACATACATAATTGTTTGGAGAGCCTCTAAGGCTCTTCAATTGTAGCCATCAAAAAAATAAGATGGTAAAGTAGCTAGCCCAATAGCTAGCTCATTAGAGCTCAAAATTAGATTTATATTAATTAAAATGCCTAACAAATCTTATTTAACTATCCCCTTATAGATGCTCTTAATCAGCCAAACAAATATGTCTAATAAGATCAAAACAAATATACAAAAGCCAAATATTAAAAAAAGAATAAAAGAACAAATATACATACATATACATACGTAAGCATAAAGACAATGAAGATTTTTAAAAAATGATGAAACCGCAAATCTACGAAATGGCGGATCAAAAACACTCTCATACTTTACTCTCTCTCTTACGGACATATACATAGGTATGTCCTTATTGATAAACTATTTTAGAATGTGAATTTTTGATTAAATAAAATTTAAATTTTGATTTATGAATTGAGTGCTAAAAAAAAATTAATTATACTTCTTTAAAATAATAAAATTATTAAAATTGTTCATTGAAAGATATTTTTCATATCACTAAAAATTATTAATTGACTTAATAATTTATTTGTTAACAAAATGAATCATTTGTTATGTGACCGTGATATATTTATATATCTATATACTAGAGTAGTGTTGAGGCTTGTACTTTTCTCTTCTCATGTTATCCTTTTTCTTTTGTGTTATTTACAGTTAGAAAATTGTTTGAGACCACTAAAACAATGAGCTCTAATAGCTCTAAAAACACTGTGCCCCTAATTGATTTGATGTTTTGCTCTTTGTTTTTTTTTTTTTTTTTTATTTTCTGGACTGCCAGCTCATTAGAGCTGGCTTAGTAGTCCATTTTTAGTGGGATCTATCACCACTGTTTACAGTTATTCTATTCCCTCCTTAAAATCAAAATAAGTTAGGCCCAGCGCCTTAACCAAAAGTTAGAGTGTCTGCCACCTATCTATCTAGCATATTTATCTTGATCTCTATCTAATGTATTTAGGATAAATCACCAATATATTTTTTGAAAATTTATTTAAAATACAAATTGTTCATATAATTATGAAAATTATGAATACTTCTGTTGTCATAATTTGAATAGTTTACTAGGTTTGAGAAGTATTAAAACAAACTATTAGGTCAGCCAAGTGGTGAGTAAAATAATTGGCATGGAATCAGCTTCCTTTCTAAAAAGCAGGCCAAGTCCCCCACTTCACACCATTTGCATTTGAGTGGAGTGGAGTTGAGTTGAGACATAAACAAAGAAACTGCAAAGCAAAGCGATGCTTGATTTTGTTTGGCTGATGCTTCTGGCTTACGCTGGTTTGGTGTTTCCTGCTTCTTCCCAAGACCACAACAACAGCAACAACAACAACAAGAACATTTTCATTTTGGCCGGACAAAGCAACATGTCCGGCCGAGGCGGCATTAATAATCTCACCTGGGACGGTGTCGTGCCGCCTCAATGTCAACCTAACCCGGCAATCCTCCGACTCAGCTCGGAGCTCAAGTGGGTGCAGGCAAGCGAGCCCCTCCACAAGGACATTGATGTGAACGTTACTTGCGGGGTTGGACCTGGAATGGTGTTTGCCAATACAGTGTTGCACAAGAAGGACTCCAGCATCAGGGGGGTTGTGGGATTGGTCCCTTGTGCGGTCGGAGGGACCAAGGGGACCAAGATAAGCGAGTGGGGACGTGGAACTTACCTTTACAACCAGTTGTTGAGGAGGGCTAGTGCGGCCTTGCAAGATGGTGGTGGGTCGATCCAAGCAGTGCTGTGGTATCAGGGTGAGAGCGACACTGTGAATCTCCAGGATGCTGCTTTGTACAAGGGCCGACTTGAGAGATTCTTCATGGACCTGCGTGCTGATCTACAATCTCCACTGCTACCCATTATTCAGGTATATATTATCGAAGCCCGATTTGGATTCCAATTCATGTCATATGAAATCTTTTTGAATAATCTGGGTTGGATTGGAACTCATTTAATCAACTGCTTCAAAAGTTTGAAATTGATTTTTGGTTATATGGGGTAGGTGGCATTGGCATCAGGACAGGGAGCTTATATTGAGAAAGTGAGAGAAGCTCAATTGGGAATACATCTTGCCCATGTAAAATGTGTGGATGCTAAGGGACTGCAGCTGGAACCAGATCATCTGCACCTTACCACTCAAGCCGAGGTTCAACTAGGCAAGATGTTGGCCGATGCATTCCTCCACACTCTGCCCACCCCACTCCAGAGTAATGCCCCCAAAACATCTCACAATTGATTTTTTTTTTTTTTTTAACCTCGTGTTTAGATATTTGAACTTCATAGTTGAAGAGGATATCAAATGATTGTACTTGACTTATTAATCAGGGCCAAAATATTGGCTAAAGAGTATATCATGCAATGAAATTTTGTCCAGTAAAATCTTATTGTTGCGGTGGTGATTCACATTTCTTTTCAATTTGTTGTCCCGAAGTCCTAAATAAAATTATTGCATTTACATGCATAGAACCCCGTTAAAGAACATTCACAAGGGGTGGGGTCTTAATGTGAGACTTCCCTTTTGTTCACCGATTTCTATGCACATTTTTTCCTTTTTTTAAAAAAAAATTCCAAAGGCAATGGTGAGTAATGAATTCCAGCTCACAAACTAGCAATGTTATAGCAGGTCCAGCAATTTAATGCTCATCTACCTCAATGATTCGAATAGAGAAAGGAACATCTCTCCAACTTCAATTAATTTTTACTGTATTAGATAGTGACTTGTCACCAACCCAATCATCCAGCCAAAGATTGGGAATAAAAAATTCTACACATTTCCAGCCCAATTTGATTTTAATTTCTTTTTCTTGACCATGTAGGCAATTTTTGGTTAAGAGATTTGAGAAAGAATTTAGAAAGAACAAGAAAAATGATGTATGAAACTAAATAAAATATAAACATATTTTATTCACATTTCACTTATTTTTTTCATTTCCCTTTCAAAATTCCTCCTCAAATCTCTCAACCAAACACAACAGTAAGTTTTTTTTTTTTTTTTTTGGGCAGCAAGGTAGCTACCGAGCTTGAGCCTAGCTGCTATCTTATCCAGAGTATCTTTAGACCTAAACACTTTCAAGCATGTAAAAATCAGATGGGAACTGAATTCTTCAGTGGGCAACAACAGAAGAAATATGGAGCCTTTTGCGGAACCAAACGTTTTGAAGCGTTTTCTTTGTCTATGTGATGCTTACATGGTTCCCTACATCTGTTATACCAATGTTACTGTTTAAAAATTGCCAGTAGTTTAACAACTGTTTCAATTCTTTTCTTCCTCTTTTTTTAACTTCTAATCTGGGTTAAATAAAAATACAATTTCAATCAAAGTGTAAACAATTCAACAAGATTACATCAAATACTGAAATGGTTAGCATTTTCTACCAAAAACCGAAAGGGCAAAAATAATCACCATTATGCCGTGAAAACAAGAGTTCACTGTTTCATTTATGGTAAAGACGACGTAAAACAGAATGTCAAACGGATGAAACAGAAGCTGTATAAGAACCATTACTGTACTTCAAGCCTTTTAGAAAGGCAGAACGCAAGTGAAGAGAAAAAATGGTGTTTGAAATACCAAAAGCACTTCTACTTTCTTGCAAGCCTTCAACTGCTGTGGGTTGATGAGGATTCACTTTTTGGCAAATGGTCTCGAAACCAACATTCAACCCAGTTGTGGTAGATTCCGTAACAAAACTGCATGTCACCAAAACTAATGCATAAGCCACTAAGTAAATACAAAATAATAGCTACGTAATAATGCCAACACCCTTTAGAAAAATACAAAATAAATTCTAGAAAGCAATGTTATGATAAGGTTGAAATCTGCCTGCATTGGCTCATGTACACCACCATCATAGGATAGGCTACATATCATTAATCCCTGAAAGAAGCATTGTGAAAGGGGACTTAGTCCATTCTTATGTATTAGCGTACACATTTCACGCATTACGATTTTTCCAAGCATATTGATTGTTCATCACGAGGCTTTTAATTGTTTTCTCAAGAAAATGCCATGTAATTGTGTAAGAGTGAATTCTAGCCCTTTGATGATATTTGTGTGAGTCTATGAGTTTGAGTTGCACCTTTAATTTTATGTGATAGGGCATTGTGAGCTTACCACAGGCTAGACTGTACCTTTGTGCCATGTGTCCCAAACCTATGTCTATATGACATCCCATTAGAGTGCGCTAACCCTTTAGTGGAGTCAGTTGCATTATGGTTTCTCAATTCCATAACCAACCTATTATAGCAAAGATATAGAGAGAGGGAGACGGTGAGAGTTGATCAGCCAAAATATGGAGAAGGAAACACATGCAAATGCAACCCTAGCGAGATACCCCATGAACAATCCAGGAACCATCAATTACAACCACTAACAACTATATTTTTTGCTGGGGACTACCTTACTTCATGATCAACACAAATAAAACATCAATCTTAGAAATCAAGTGGGATTTTGTTGAAACATCTGATGGACCCAAGTATTGCCCACTTAGAATGCCACCCACTCTAGAGACTTCAATTAGATATTTACTTCCTTGATGAATCAAATTTAGAATCATAATGGATCAAAAAACAAAAACAAAAAAATGCAAAAAGAACAGCAAAACTTTATAAAGGCAAGATTTTTTCAGCAACGACATAAAGATCCGTCTTCAATATGGTCCATAAAGTGAATTTATGTATCAGTGTTAGAATTTTTCATACCTTGCCTCAAAGCTCATTCCCTCAGAGCACATGGCTTCACAAAAACTGCTGATTACCCATGGAGGAAGATATGCATCCTTGATTTCAATGCTATAGCAGAAACCAGAAGATGAAGATTCATCTTTCATGTTGAATTCCTTTAGAGGAAAAGATATATTATCAGCCCTTCTCACTTCCTTGCATCTAACCTACAAAAGAAGGCAAACAAACATGTATTAGCAGGATTATGTTTTTTGTATAACAATTGTGGCACAATCTAAGTTGTAGAAAGAACAACAATCAATCTAGGTTTAACAACATAAGATTATGGCCAAGAATGAAATAGCATACAGTAAAAGAAGTATATTTAAATAAGGATATGCTATAATTTCTAACTTATCTAATAGGATAAATCAAAAGTAACTATGATGTTTGTAAGGGTCTTTACCCAGTTTCATGTGAAGCAACTTTGGCTTTTGGTAGTAAGTTTATACTTCTATTTTTATTTTTTTTTAATTGTTTTTTTCTTAAAGTGGTTTAGCTAGTTCACAAACTAGCATAGACAGTTTTGCTAGTCCCCTGCACAAACAAGGCAGATTCTAGGTTATGGATTTTGGATTATCAGAGAAATTGCATCTTGTTCCTAATAGATCAGGCAGTAAGCACGCACAGTGTTACTCTCAACTCTAGGCAACAAAAATGAGACACTAAGACTCTTCAGAGAAAAGAGAGTTTGAGGACCTCTAAAAGTTAATAGAAATCCACATTACTAATTCAAAAAGGAACTGAAAATTCCCTTCGCCATGTAATTTTCAAAGAAGAAAGCTTCAATTGCCTAGTGCATCCAGCAAAAACTAATAAATTTGCAGTTAACCAATTATAAAATTTCCATAGCATAATGGTGTAATATAACAAAATTTGAGTAATACTATGGAAGACAAAGCAAAGCCAATTCCAATTGAGTGGATAAAAATAGCAAAGATTCAAAAAGCTCGTTTACCAATGCACATACTAAGCAGCCCTACCTCTGGACAAGAAAGGGCAGCGTTTTGAAATGGCACTGGTGAATATAATACAGGGACATCCATACTAGTCAAAGAGGTTAATAAAAATCTGGAAAAATGGCAGCCAAAAAAGATGAAATTAGAATCCAGTGATAGAATTAAATAGAAAAAAATCTTTAATATATAAAAAAATGTAAATAATATAAAGGTCAAGTTTTCTCCCTTTCTGTCAGTTTAAAGGGTACTGAAGACATGTGTTGTAATCAGACATGATATTCATATACCCACCTATAATTTAATAGAAAATCATATAACCCATGCACATTCTGGTTTCCATTGAATGCGAGCAAAGATTGTGGGCTATTATCCACGTTAGACATAGAACTCTGGCGACGAATCTGCATGAAAGATAGGATGGCACCAATTAATGATAAAGCACAAGAAAGAACTCAAGAAGCAGCATGGTAGGTAAAAACCATTGAAATGGCACTAATGTTTGTACAAGAACACTCCAGCTAGCCAGTAGGATTGTCAGGTCTCTGCTAAACATCAGTCGTGCTCCCAACTACTCCCACTAAGAAAACCCTCATCAAATGTTGCAACGACAGAGATAAACATCACATGAGCTATGAAAGCATTTTAGAACTGCACTTCACATTCTACCTAACTGACAAAAGTTGTTACAAATAAAAGGATAAATAAAGACCACCAGCAAGAGCAGTTGGAACTTGGAACAGAAGGCCCTTCAGTGAAATTATTAAAGTAGTTGATGCCCTACAGAGGAATCTCATGCTCCACCTAAGGTCTAAGTAGCCGATCCATGAGATGAAATGCACTAAAAATATAAATAAAAATATGAACATGAATTGTATACCTGGCCCAGATTATGTTTCTCCATCTCTGAGAGCTCAACCAGGTCTTCTGTTGTAGTTTGCTCAACTTTAGAATAGCAAAGAGGCATAGAGAAAGAAATATCCTAAATCATAATTTAAACCCATCAGAAAGAATATAAAAATAATAATAATAATTTAAAATTCATCAGGACAAATTAAAAATAGAAACATATCAGGCACAATGCAATATTTTCCAGAGCTGAAAAGTTCATAATGTAAAAGTGAACTAAAGGTTCCAAAGTGAGTTAACTTGTATTAATGAAATTTCAAGCCTTTAATTTCCAGGAAATGGAAAAGCTAATTATTACATCCTTGAGAAAATTTTACATGCCGTAAAGGCAGCAAGCAGCCAATTTTGTAAGGATAACCTTCTTCGGCAGTAGCAAGTCAATCCAAACAACTCCCCAATGCTTAGTTGGATTGTAACACCATCACAGTCTATATAGACTAACTAGCAAAGAAGTTTTTCCTATTAACCAGGTTAAGCCCCCATGGTTAATATATCAATTATGCATATTAGAAGCACTCTCTCAAGGATAAGTTCCCTCAAATCTAGGTTAAACAGCTAATGCTAAAAAGCAACCAATATGTCATTCCCTCTTTACCCAAAAAATAAATGAATAATATATATATAGAACAAAGCATTAAATTTTGTGTTTCAAAATATTTGCCATGAGATGAAGTATGAGAAGAAAAACTGACCATGCAAACCTATTCTGCAACAATGCCATTATGACAAACCAAAAAATTTGAGTCCTCTGTCGGAAAATAACAGATGAATGCCTCCATACCATTAGTGCACAGCAAATGTAGTACCAGCAGTAGTAGTAGTAGTAGTAGTAATTACCATGGTTTTGCCATGCCATGGAAAACCAATTTTAAAGCATGTTAATCTGAACCTGAAGATAATCAGGCATCAAGGCCACTACATCACTACTTAGAAGAAGTATTTATGGTTGAGAGCTCTAATTTTAAAAATCTATACTATCTATGCTATTATATAAAGCCAGCACTCAAGTTGGTGCGGCTGTCACCTTTTTTTGATTTCCAAAAATACCCCCAACAGCAACTACCCTTCTGTAACTGCAAATCATGCACCTATGAATCCTGTAACTGCACACCACTTTAAGTCATAAGCACTAGGAACTCCAAATTGCTTACCCATTCATTTTTTTGTTTTTTTACATAAATTATTGCTTATTTTCCTTGGCTAAATTTTTTGGCAAGTTGCCACCAGCAACCACCTCAAAAAGGAAGGGAGGGCAGCCCAGTGCACAAGGTTTCCACTACTGCAAGGTCTAGGGAGATGTACGCAACCTTACCCCTCATGTGGAGAGGTTGTTTCCAGGCTTCAAACACGTGACGCCCAAGTCACAATATAACCTGATCTCTATGCCAAGGGCCGTCCTAGCCTTACCACCTTAGCTAACAATCACTGACAACCCAATTAAAACATTTGCATTAAAGCAAACAAAGAGAAAGTACAATAACAAGAATGAAGCAATTAAAATATAGTTTAACCAATTTCACCAACAAATACATACAACAAAAGGTTCGACCAACATATGAAGCTAAGTTCTTGGGCATGCAGTAAACAGAGCACAATCAGAACAAAGTTCAAGGCAAAACATATAACTGATTACAAGTTAGTTGTTATCTAAGTACAAGCACCTGACAAGAAGCTTAGAAAGTAAATCTTACATGCTCTCTTAACAATGACCTTAAACTTCTTGTAGATTGGGATATGTATGCATTGCATGTGCGCTTACTTTCCTTCGAACCATCATCACCAATGAACATCACCACAAACTGTGCAGTGCACACTGGAAAAGTTCCAATTATAAGAGCAAATCAATGTAAGTACTTATTTTGGCAGGTAGATAAAGGCAGATAGAACAGACTTTTAAAATGGAAGATCACGAAGAATACACAGATGAAGTCATCATTCACCTATTGCACAAAATTCTTACGATCGATGGATTTGATGAACAAAATTGCAAAAGCATGAATAAAGGTAATTACCATAAAAAATCTCACACACACTCTTCCGAAGCATGTAGTAAAGACTCCGAAATGCATCCTCCCATGCCAATTGTCGTTTGCTCAAGAAATCCATTTGGACTGAACAAAGAAAAAAAAAATTAAGGATTTAAATTTTAGAATTAAAACAAAAAAATGGTATTACAAAACGTTACTATTCTGGCTGCAAACCTCCTTCTGCTGAAGATAAGGTCAACGCTGATATAATAGATGGTGGTAGAGAAGACTGTGGGTACACCCATGAATGTAAAGCTCTTGGGTTAACTACTTGGGTAGTGGAAGTAAACTCTGACGAGGAGCTCATTTTTTGACCTTCAGAACAGCCAACCTGAAAGGCGCTGGTAAACTGGGCCCCACCACTATAGGCACCACATGCTATTAACCTATGAAACCTAAACAATCACATAAAAAATAATCGATCAGCTGATTGTAACACCACAAGATAGTTAAATTAATCAATAACAAAACATTAACAAGCAATCTAATTAAAAACGAAGGAGGCCATAATCCATGCATGGACATTGAGTTAATAAAAGAGACAGCAGCCATCAAAAGCTTTGTGTTAACTAATACATGGTAATTCTTTACTTTTCATTTTAGAATATGGAATATGAATTTCATAATCAATGATAAAAGATAATATCCGACATGATTACAAATTCTGTTAAGAGTTAACAAATCTTTCTTTTATATACATTCCAGTAAAATAAACTAGAATATAAGGCCTTGTTTGGTTTGTGTTTCCCAAAAATTTTTGGGAAAAATTCTCTACAAATAAGTTTTCAAAAGTAATCAAACCAAACAAATTTTTCCAAAAAAATTTCTCAAAACTTGTTTGGTTTATAAGTTTTCCAAACAAATCTCTCTCTCATACACATCAAATCAATCACTTTTTTCAAAACTCTCTCTCAAAATAATTTTCCAAAACATCTTTTGAAAAAAACCAAACCAAACAACTTTTCGTACTTTTTATCTCTAAAACTCATCTCCCAAACTCAAACCAAACATACCCTAAATGTTTCTAAACAAGGTAAAAACAATGTCCCCCAAGTATAGTTGTGTCCCACTAGTGCACCATCAGCAACTTTTCCCATATAATTCTCTAACAAACAAAAAGAGAATAAAGAGATAAAACAAAACAATGGGGACGTCTCTTCAACTATAGACCCCGTCGGGGAAAGAAATAGGACCCTAAATTTGTGGGATCAATCTTGTATCAGATGGTGCATCAATATTTCTGAAAGTCTGGAATTTGGACAACAGTCCCAAGGTGTGAGTCCATAATTCAAGGTGGTGGCAGTATGACCCGAGTTTATGTCTTACTCTTCCATGAGTACCTCTACACTCCCACAAGGATTATTTCCCTGAATTCACATTGAATTAAGCATAAGAAAGGAAAGACAAAAATGATCTTTTGATCTACTCCAGCCACCTCATCACCTGAACATTGAGCAATGAAGACCTAGGTAGCCAACTTCACAAGGTCTATATGTGTCCATTGGTGGTGGTCAAGCATCTTTATGTGCTTCCAAATTTTAGCCCTCATGAATGTCATTACACCTTTGGATTTTAAGGGGCTGGTTGCTTTGTCTTATCTCAGTCCCCTCTTTAAAGTTGTAATCAAGGATATTGATACCATTATGATCTATAAAATAATTGGGAGAGTTTTCAGGATTAATATGCTTGATTTATGGAAACAATTTAGTTTTAGTAGTGTTTGACCTTTATTTTAAAATTTCTATTAGCCCATAAATTTATGCAGATGCCATACAGCTTGGGGAAGGAAGAAAAAACATAATTGCTTCAAGGCTTTGTGGAGGCTAGATCCCCTTGAAGTGATCTAATTGGTGGTATGATCCCCTCCGAAGTAATCAATTTATTCCCCCCATTCTCTAGTTTATCCTTCTTTTTTTCTTTTTCATTTGTGAAGTTAATCCTTTATTTGGTATCAGAGCTCAATTCTGCTTGATCAAAAATGGCAAGAACCAATGTTGAGCATGATGAACTCCTCAATCAACATGGCAGTGCTTATGGATCTGGTATTGCCACAACACCACGAAGATCATGGAAAGAAGATCGTGATGAACCCTAATAATGTCCAGGAAGAATCCCATCACAGAAACCACATTGGGTTTCATTGGGACATAGACCAAGGACTTCCTCGGATGAAAATTGAATTCCCACGTTGGGATGGAGAAGATCCGGCTGGATGGATTTCTCAGGCAGAACGTTATTTTCAGTTTCATTGGACAACTAGAAATATGAAAGTTCATATTCCTAGTTGTCCAATGAAACTAAAAAAAATAATATCTGAGCCAATTATTTTATAGAAGATCATAATCATATCATTCCCCTACACTTTAAAAATAACCTTGTCCTCAATGTTGCATCAAATCATATCAAGCACAAGCAGTCAATTGAAATTACGAACAGAGAAGCATCAACTATACCCTTATCTCTAAGCAGTAGCAACATACACATTAGAGCAAACAAGAATGTGAGTAGCCTCACCAATTTACAGAGGAAGAGGACACCACCCGCATAGTTGTTTTCAACGTAAAATCCAGAGGAGACTTTCGACCAGGAATATGGAATTCTGAGCATAAATTTCCCAAAGTGAAATCACCTTTTCTTTCAGAAGAATCAGAAGCTAAACTGGAACGGGGAGGAGGTTCATGAGCAACCAGTCCTTTCAGAGCTTTGTCCTGACAAGAAAAATATATGTCAGGTTGTTTCCATAGAAGAGATATTTTAAATACAATCGCAAAAGGATATTACTGACAAAAGAAATACCAAATCAACAGTTTCCCGGCCAGATAGCTTTTCTCCACCTGCTGATAGCTCTGTAACACTACGAAATGTATTCTCACTGCATTTTTCAGTTGTTTTACAAGCTTGCACTGTTCCATTTCTGGTACCTGAAGCAAAAGAATCCTCCGGGCTGCCAACAAACAAAGCAAGAAAATGAAAAATGCAACAAATAATCTAATCGTTATAAATAAGGAAGACCACTCTGCAAAGTCCTACTGTGAAAGCTGTGATTGACTTTTGGCAGCCAAATCTGACGGAACAGAGCAGCTTTTCAGGCTGCCATTATGCTCCACAGGACTGTTTTCCTGCTCATGAGAAAACAAATATATTAACTGTCAAATGACAGCATTTGCAGATCAAAGCATAAGAAGAAAATTAAGAACGATGAAGATTTAAATCACCACATTAGATACAGCAGCATAAATATTACAGTTTTAAAACAATGTACTGACCTTTGCATTTTCTTTTCTAGAAAGCATCCTAAGCCTAATGCTGCTTTTTCTGACCGGATATACCTCGTCCATCCGGGTGTCAATGTATCTACGGTTCTTTGATAAATCTGGTTTCTTAAGCCCACAAACTATCCCGGTTGTGTTCCTAACATAAGTCAAAAAAACTGTTATCAAACACGATCCAAAAGCAACCAACAGAAACAATAGAGGCAAAACTTACTCCAGAAAACCAAGCTCAGCAGCTGGAGACTCATCAACAAGCTCCACAACATTCTTTCGCTTCAATTGTTCTCCCTGTCATTGAAACACAACGCCAAGAGAATATATTAGCCATTACCATTAGAATTTTGGTAAGTCAAAGATTCTTGCAAGCTTGATTGTATTTGAAAGCAAAAAAAATTACCATATGAAACCTTACATAACATAAGAAGTTAGCAGTGCACTACATCCAATAAGTAGATGGCATACACATACAGCAATAAATGCCACAACAATAGGCAGCTTATTTGATGATATCCAATTAACATAACATTGCTTACAAGAGGTAAATTTTGAGAATATTGAGTAAAAGAGTGAGATATTTAGAAAGAAAGATATTAAAATATGAGATTAAACTACACCAACAAAATCAATTTTTTGGTGAAGACAGAGGGCATATTGCAATGCACAGTCCTCTATTTCATTTAGAATTCCAATCCATTTAATGAGTAAAACAATGAGATATTTAGTAGAAAGATATTAAAATAACAAAATAAAACTACACTAACAAAATCAAAATTTTGGTGAAGACAGGTGATATTGCAGAGCGCAATTTTCCATTTCACTTAGAATTTCAATCCATTTCAAAAGGTATGTACATGGCTATGAAGCACCAACACTCCAAAACAGGTGTTGTAGTAGTGTCAAACACGGGGATATTTAATTACTTGCTTTCAAGGGTCACACCAGGGACATGCCAACTAATCTTTTTTTCCCTATTCTTTAGTGCTTTTGATGGATATTGGATGTTGAATGTTTATTACTTTTTACTTAGATTTAAAGAATTAATAGATCATCCATAAAAAATATAAATGATAAGAAGTTAACTTAAGAGTGGGTTTTTTTATATTGAAGTAGTGTTAATTTTTGTTAATTTTGATCGTTTGTAGATGTAATATTAATCTATATAGCAAATAAAAGTATATTGTTTTATTGCCATGTCTCAACCATTAGGCCACTTAGGCTGTCGCCTAAGGCCTACAAAAAATTTGAAAAAATTCTTATTTTCGAAGGTCCCTTCTTTCCAAAGCCGTTAGTTAGATAAAGCTTTATTTTAATGTTTAGTCTGAGACCTCCAAAAACCTTGGGCCACTACTGATCACTATGTCCAATGTCAATGTCCATGACAAATAGAGCTTTAATTCAAAGTTTACAGCAACAATATAAAATAGTTTACTTAAAACAATTAGTTTATCGGGAAAAAACCAAAAATTACAGGGCTTCGGTCCCTTAGAGTAGTGTAACAATAACATCCAAAAACAACATATATTACCACAACAACATTGACCGTGGTGAAATTCAAAGAACCCTTGACAGACCCCTAACCATATTAGACTTAAACCCATTTAACTGCGGAGCAGTCACAACATATATTACCACAACAACATTGACCATGGTGAAATTCAAAGAACCCTTGACGGGCCCCTAAGTCCTAACCATAATAGACTGAAACCCATTTAACCACGGAGTCACAACATATATATTCTATTCCATCTTTTGTACAGCTCTAACAAGTTCGTGGTAGATAAAATCTCAGGTTCACCATCGGGGAAATAGATAACCCACCAAATATAAATAGAGCAAGCCAAAGTTGAAGCTGAATATATAGAAATTGCATATAAATAAAAATCAGAAATTTGACAACTTACCCTCAATTCTGAAGGTGTCTTCCTTTTAACTGCAGTGCCAACCTTTGAAGCCCCCCCACCAAAATGAAGAGCACTGGAAGATACAGGGCCCTGAGTAGCAACCTTCGCCATGCTAATATGCTATACAATATAACTTCACAACAACAGTCAAATCAGTGTATAAAGATAGATACTTGAATTTTGATATTGCTACATATAGATACGCAAAATGATTGAAAATGGGTTTTAGATCAAAATAGGTGAAGAAAACAAACAACAGATTCGAAATAACACAAACAAGAAAGAGCAAAAATCAACAATTTCAGGAGACAAATTCGTACCCCTGCGATTCAAATCTCCTTGGAACTAAAGAGAAAAAATTAAAACCTAGAAAACAATCGGTGCCCTAATCTCTGCTTTGAACTTGTGCAGCAGATTTTTGGGTTGATTTGCCCCAAATGAGATGTGTTTAGGGCAAATCTGAGAGAGAGAGAGAGAGAGAGAGAGAGAGTGGGGGGTTTGGGCCTCGTTTGAACTCTTTTCAATTTCCCTCCCTGTGCCCGACGCAGTTAAGTCAGTCGTTAACGTCGTTTTGGTAATTCAAAAACCTTGCACCACCCTTTAGATTGGGTGTTTTGAAAGGAAAAGCAAAAAATTTGAGATTTTAAAATAAGTTTTTTTATTTTTAATTCATATTTTTTTTCCTTTTTTTTTTTGAAATTTTTTTTATAAAGTCTCTGGTATTAAGAGTTTATAGCATAAAGGATATCAAATATTTTCATAATATCTAAGGTCCCTCACACATTGATCCAGAGAAATTTCAATCTCTAAAGAAATTCTCTCCAAATTTCTCTAGACTTAAATTTCTCTAGACTTCTCTTCAAATTTCTCTAGACTTCCCACTGTCCAGAGAAATTCTCTCCAAATTTTCCTAGACTTCTTTCCAAATTTCTCTGGACTTCTTTTCAAATTTATCTGGACTTCCCACTGTCTAGAGAAATTCTCGCCAAATTTCTCTGGACTTCTCTCAAAATTTCTCTGGACTTCCCACTGTCCAGAGAAATTCTCGCCAAATTTCTCTGAATTTCCCACTCTAATTTCTTTGGACAAAGTAAGTTCAAGTCTCATCTTAGCCTAAACTCTCTCTCACTCTCTAATATTTTTTCTTTGGATATATGGTTGCAGAAGAAGCTTCTGATTCTCCAAATTTCTCATAGCCATTATTGGTCATTCAAAATCAAAGAATTTCTCTAGTTACCTACCAGGAAATATTTCTTGGTTATCTAAACTTCTTTATTATTGATCATTCAAAATCAAACCAACCAGAGAAATTTGGGCTACCTAGAAACAAAAAAACAATCATAATTTTCTCTGTGTTTTGAACAAACTAGAGAAAATTGTAATTATTTTTCTCTATGATTATTTTTCTAAGAAACATTTTATCAAACAAGTTAGCTTCAAAACTCATAGCTATATGTTTTACAGTTCTAAAAAGAGTTTTGTCAAACCAAATCTCACAGTTATGTGTTTTGGAGTTCTAAGAAGCATTTTGTCAAACAGTTTAACTTCATACTATATACATGGATGTTTATATGTGTATGAGTTGTGAGAGAGAGAGAGAGAGAGAGAGAGCAATCTCCTCTTGACCAGTCAAGAAGAGGAGGATATCACGCTCAGGTTCTGTCAAGTGGATCTCTATAACAGTGATTAGAGATATATCTAGGTAATCACTTTCTGGCTATTTAGTGTAGAGTATCTCCATCGGATAAGTTCTTTAAAGAATTGTAAAGATATTGCAGTTAAAGGAATAACTTGAAAATTTCTCTGCATCTAATGTGACAGATGTGACAATCAATCGAAGGTCAAGTCTCCTCTTTACAAGCTGCTTCAACAATCCAAAAAGGACATCAATGTGGATTGTCCTCTCATGAGCTTTATCAAGCATTATAACTAAATACTGAGATAAATTCTCATCAATCAAAATCTCTCTCAAAAGCATACCATCTATCATATACTTGATTACTGTATCCGGTCCGGTCCAGTACAAATGACGACGATAAACTCCAATAATGGAGGTAGAGTTCGTCGGAGAGAGAAGAGCAAAGAGAAAAGAAGAGAGGGAGAGGCAGTTTGATTTAAGGGAATCAAATTTCGCTGTGATATATGGGTGTTGGGGATTGAGGGACCTTAGACATCATAAAATAATATTGTGAATCTCTTTCATTATTAAAAATGGGAGAGGGACCTTAGACTATTTTTTTTTTTTTTTTTTGGAACATTGTTACTAGTAGTATTTTAGGCCAAGTTAGGCATATTGTAAAAAAGTCAAAAAGTCAAAAGGTTATTCAAAAAATTAAAAAGTTAACACTATTCACTAAAAGTCAACAATTATGGCTGCACAACTCACAATCCTAATTTTTCTCTACAAATTAATTTTTACAATTTTTTATTACACATTTTTTCATAAAAAGTTTAAAAAGTTAACCCAAACATCCATATTTTCTTCCTCAATTTTTTAATCTAAAAAGACAAAAAGTACACTTATTTAAGATAACCCAAACAACCCCTAAGAGTCAATTTTTGTTCTACTTTTTATATTCCTTTAACTTTCTAATTATGTATTTTAATTTGGAACTTTTTAAACTAATTTTCATCCAATTTTGTTTTAACAAAAACAAGTACATAATTACATAAATATAATATTCATTTTTCAATCTCTTTGAACGACTCTGCAAATTGTAAGAGCAAGAGTGGTTGTTTGGAATGCTTTAAATAGGGGATTGTTTGGCATACACTATTTTAGTCTATCTTTTTATCTTTTTATTTTTTTTTGTCACATCAATCAACATCTCTTCTCTATTTTTCTATACATTTTTTTTATAAAAAGTCAAAAAGTGTACTTATTTATAACATCTTAAACCACCCCTAAGTGCATTTTTTGACTTTTTATAAAATATGGATTGAATTTGAAGTGATGTGACTTAAATAAGACGATATGACTTAAATGAGATAGTGACTTTTTGACTTTTTTAAGAGATGACAAACAAGACCTAAGGGTAAAGATAAAATACTTTGCAAAAGTACACCAAAAAAATGCCTTCTTTATTTTACCTAACTAATTTAGGCCAAGTTTGGGAAGATTAAATAAGTGCACTTTTTTATTTTTCTTGTATTATGTGTAGAAAAAGTAGAGAGGAGATGTTGATTGATGTGACCCAAAAAAGATAAAAAGATAAAATAAGTGCACTTTTTTAGTTTAGCCAAACTTGGCCTCACTCTAACCATATTATTTATTTTAACTAATCAATCTAGCTAACTTAACTAATTTTTAAAATATATATATTATAAACCTAGATAAATGAATAAATATTATTTTTATAATATATTGTATATGTTAACGTGACATTTGTAAATATTTTTTTAAAATTATATAATTAAATTATTTTTAAAAATATTTATATTATGACCTCGTTTGACAAGTGACTTTTTTAGTCAAAAAGTCAAAAAGTCAATAATTTATACAAAAAAGTCAAAGATTCTATTTTCTTTTTACTTTTTGCACATCTTTTCGTAAAAGTAAAAAAGTTATCCCAAACATACTAATTTTTTTTACATCATATTTTAGCTAAAAAATCAAAAAATTACTAAAAAAACATGTTCCCAGACAAGGCCAAAATTATTTTCTAAAAAAATATTTTTAAATGATCATATTTTCAAATGGTAATATACAAACACAAAATTAAATCAATTAGATGAAATATACAAACACAAAATTAACTAAAAGAAGAGTACTTGATCATATGAAAAGAGCAATTTCAGTAAAAAATCCTTTTGCCTCTCAATAAGGCCCCTTTTGAAAAGTGGGTTATAATCCACTTCTCAAATTATAACTCACTTCCTCTCTCACAAAAAAATTACTTATAAGTAGTTTTGTACTAATAAACTGACTATAACCATCTTCCCAAAATAATCCTAAAGGCTAACTAGCTATGAAAAGTCAAAATCAAAATAGACATTTTGTTTCTCCATATGCAAAATCCCTTAGGCCTCGTTTGGGAACAGACTAATTAGTAACTTTTTGGCTATTTGGCTAAAATATGAGTTTAAAAAAACTAGTATGTTTGGGATGATTTTTTTGCTTTTTACGAAAAGATGTACAAAAAGTAGAGAGAAAAAAGAATTTTTAACTTTTTTATATGAGTTGTTAGCTTTTTGACTAATTTAGTAACTTTTTAATTTTTTGACTAAAAAGTTCGATTGCCAAACGTACACTTAGGCCTCGTTTGGGATGCTACCTTTTTAGCCAATTAGCCAAAAAGTTACTAAATTAGCCAATTAGCCATATCAAAAAGTCAACAATTACGGCTTCTCTCTACTTTTTGCACAACTTTTCGTAATTAGTCAAAAAGTCATCCCAAACATACAAGATTTTTTTACCTACCTTTTTAGCCAATTAGCTAAAAAGTTACTAAATTAGCCTGTTCCCAAACGAGGCCTTAGAGGAGGAAAAAACCAATTACATTAACAAAAATACCTCATTATGCTCTTTTACCTCTTCCCTTGAAGATGCTCTAAGCACATGTCTACATTTCTACATCGCAAAAACATAAAATCACCTAAAAGATTCATTAATTTAGGTGTTACCTCATTTGGGTCTCATCTAAAAACACCAAAACGCGAGTTAGCATTCAATTAAGTCGGGGTGACCTTGACACATAGGTCCCATTTGGAAAGTTAGCTATTTTAGTTTTTAAGTATTTTAGTAAATTAAAATTTGTGTGTTTTGAAATATGTTTAGATTTTTTTATAGTTGAGTGTGATATTTGTAAAATAAAAAGTAAAATTATTATAGGTTTGATATGATATTTTTGTCTTATTAATTGTTTTAACTTATTTTGTCTTTGTGTAGATTTTAGTCCAAAAAAACCTAAATTTGGCTTGCCAAACACTGCCATAGAGGGACTTGAGGTTTCAGGACTGACTTTGTATAAATATATTAGCCCCATTTGTGAATAGGTTATTTTGATTAGCTATTTAACTCTTTTGACTATTTTAGCCTAGCTAAAAATATTTTATTTGGGATGATAGTTGATTTTTTTGTTGTAATTGATTTGGTGGTCATGCAAGAAAAATAAAATAATTATGAATTAAATGTGACATTTTATCTTATTCACTATTTTAACATATTTTATCTTTATTAACTATTTTAACTATAGCCTCTGACCAAATATGCACATTATTGTATGTACATTTGTAAACATAATGGAATCAAATAATTATTTTGAATCAAACATCATGTAAACTCAATTGGAATCAAGAAATAAATTTGGGAGATCGTTTGTGTTGATGGTTAAGTCACAGTCTAGGACGAGAAAGGAGGGAAGTGGCAGCGATTGAGCCGAAGATATGAGGTAGCATAAGACAACGTGTCATATCTAAATCATAATTATTTTATTTTTTTTCTCACGAAAGTTAGAAAAGCCAAAAAATCCATCTCAAATAAAACTTTTTAGTCTCAAACTAAAATAGCAAAAAAGTTAAAAAGCCAACTCACATCTCAAACGAAACCATAAT